AAGTTGCCATTCGGGCTACAAGAAAAATGGCTAGCTCAAGGCTCCCTGTACAAGGAGCAGTATCATGTCTCCTTCCCTCCTTTTGCCTTTTTCACAGACTTTGTCTGTAATGAAGCACGCAGACGAAATGACCCTAGCTTTGTTCTTTCGACAGCCCCTAGAGGTCAGCCAAACCATCTCTATAGGTCCTCAACAGGTCCTTCTAAGTCCATGTATTCAGACAAGAGGCCAGGGAACATTAAAGGGCATGTTTTTGCTCACAAAACAGAAGTGTCGTCACATCATTCAGCATGTCAGTCAGACAGGTCAAGAGACATGCTGGACGACATTGCCAAACAATGCCCTATCCACAAGAAACCCCATCCTTTGAGAAAATGTCAGGGCTTTCGAAGTAAACCGCTTGAGGAGCGCAAGTCTTTTCTGAAAGAAAACAATATTTGCTTCAGATGTTGCTCCTCTACAACCCACTTTGCCAAGACCTGTAAAGTGGCCTTGAAATGCAGTGAATGTGGGAGTGATGGTCATGTTACTGCTCTGCACCCTGGACAACCTCCATGGAACAGGCAAGACCCTTCCTTAGAGCATGGCGGGGGGGGCGAAAGGAGAAATCTCCCAAGTGGCAGTTACCTCTAAATGCACGGAAGTCTGTGGTGAAGGGAGAAGCTCTTGGTCTTGTTCGAAGATCTGCTTGGTGAAGGTCTACCCAAAAGAGAATCCAGAAATGGCTATAAATGTATGTTGTTTTAGATGACCAAAGTAATAGGTCGCTGGCCAAGTCAGATTTCTTTGACCTCTTCCAGATTACTGGGTCAGAATCGCCATACACACTCCGTACCTGTGCAGGGCTCTCTGAGACATGTGGGAGAAGAGTTTCTGGGTTTTTGGCTGAGTCACTGGATGGAACAGCGAGAGTGATGCTTCCTACACTAATTGAGTGCAATCACATCCCAGATAATCGTTCAGAGATCCCTACTTCAGACGCTGCACAGCACCACACTCATCTGAAGTCAATCGCTCACAAAATACCACAACTGGATCCAGAGGCCCAAATCCTCCTCCTTTTGGGATGTGACATCTTGCAGGTACACAAAGTCAGAGAGCAACGAAATGGACCACATAATGCTCCATATGCTCAGCGACTGGACCTTGGATGGGTCATTATAGGAGATGTCTGCCTGGGTTCAGCTCACAGGCCAGTAGATGTGACCAGCTTTCACACCAGTGTGCTTGAGAATGGACGCCCAACTTTTCTCACTCCATGCCCTAACCACATGTACATCAAAGAACAGTTTGGAACTCAAAACCAGTCCAACTCTTCCATCTTCGGTCCCCTGCCTGTCACACCAATCTTCAATGAACGTAACCTTGGAAAGACAATCTTCGAGAAGACAGAAGACGATGACAAGATGGGTCCTTCCATTGAAAATAAGATGTTCCTGGAATTAATGGACAAGGAAATGTACATGGATGATGCCAAAAATTGGGTGGCACCGCTCCCATTTCGCATTCCTCGACCTCGACTCCCAAATAATAGGGAATATGCCCATCATCGACTTGTCTCTCTTCTGCGCACCTTTGAACGCAAGCCACAGATGAAAGCGCACTTTGTGACCTACATGCAAAAGATCTTCGACCGTGACCAAGCTGAGATGGCTCCTCCACTGGCTGAGGGAGAAGAATGCTGGTATTTACCCTTTTTTGGTGTGTACCACCCCCGGAAACCGGAACAAATAAGAGTTGTCTTTGACTCAAGTGCTCAGCATCATGGCATCTCCTTAAACAATGTACTACTCACTAGCCCGGACCTCAATAACAGCCTGCTTGGAGTCTTGCTGCGTTTCCGCCGAGAAGCTGTGGCTATTATTGCTGACATTGAGCAAATGTTCCATAGTTTCGTTGTCAAGGAGGGACACCGTAACTTTTTAAGGTTCCTGTGGTTTGACAGAAATGACCCCAGCAAGGAGATCGTTGAGTACAGGATGAAAGTACATGTATTCGGCAATAGTCCATCTCCGGCAGTAGCTATACATGGCCTTCAGCGTGCAGCGCAACATGGAGAGGCCGAATATGGCAAAGACACTAAGCACTTTGTAGAACGCAACTTCTATATGGATGATGGTCTTTTGTCACTGCCTTCAGCGACTGAGGCCATAGACCTGCTGAAAAGGACACAAGAGATGCTAGCTGTTTCAAACTTGAGACTCCATAAGATAGCATCAAACTGTCCCAGCGTCCTGGAAGCCTTTCCTTTAGAAGACCACGCCAAAGGTCTTCAGGACATGAACTTTGATGATGGTGCCACCTTCATACAACACAGTTTAGGGCTTTGTTGGGACCTCAAGTATGACATCTTCACATTCAACGTAGCTGACACAGAAAGACCCTTCACACAAAGAGGTGTCCTAGCTACTGTGAACAGCCTATTCGATCCTCTCGGGCTGATTGCACCTGTCACTATACAAGGGAAGTGTCTCCTGAGGGATCTCATGAGCTGTAAGGCCCTTGACTGGGACAGCCCCCTTCCAGAAGAGCGGGAGGCTGAATGGAGAATGTGGAAAGACTCCTTACAACATCTGAAAGAGTTCAAAACCCCTAGACCATATGCTCCTACTTCTTTCGCTACTGCACAACGGAAAGAACTCCACATCTTCTCAGATGCATCTGTGAAAGCTATTGCAGCAGTGGCATACATTAAGGTCATCGACAGTGTAGGGAAGTGCTACATTGGATTTGTGTTTGGGAAGGCTAAGTTGGCACCCCCTGCAGCGCATACTATTCCAAGACTGGAGCTAGGAGCGGCTGTGTTGGCTGTGGAAGTGGCTTGGCTGATACAGAATGAGTTGGACATTATCTTAGATGCTTTGCAGTTTTGTACAGACAGCAAGGTTGTCCTTGGGTATATACACAACCAGACCAGACGGTTTCACATGTATGTCTGCCACAGGGTACAATACATCAGAAGGTTCAGTAAACCAGAGCAGTGGCATTACATCTGTACCACTCAGAACCCAGCAGATCATGCTACCCGATCGGTACCTGCAGCCCAACTTACCAGCACGACTTGGCTTACAGGACCCCACTTCCTGTCCATAGCTGCAGGACAACCCATCACAGAGGAGGAAACATACGACCTCATTGAACCCAATTTGGATCCGGAGGTATGTTCTCATGCCACTACCCTTACTGTACCTTCATCTACTTTAGGGTCCTATCGTTTTGAGTGTTTTTCCTCTTGGAAGTCTTTGGTGCAAGCCATTGCATTTTTGAAGCATATCGTCAGGTCCAAGATAACTGTGAAAAAGGACAAGACATGTTGTGGCTGGCATGTATGCACACAACCTTACACAGCAGAAGAACTCTTAGAAGCAGAGACTCTTATTATCAGGTGTGTACAGCAAGATACCTACAGAGAAGAGTTCAGTAGCATTGCTGCCAGAAAGGACATTCCAAAGGGAAGTTCACTGAGAAAACTGAACCCCTGTGTTGACAAAGATGGTCTCCTGAGAATAGGAGGTAGACTCAAGCATGGACGTCTTGAGGCAAGAGAGAAGTACCCTCTGGTTATTCCAGGACAGAGTCACATTGCTACTTTACTGGTGAGGCACTTCCATGACAAGGTCAGACATCAGGGGCGTGCCTTTACAGAAGGTGCCGTTCGCACGGCAGGATTCTGGATTGTGGGAGCAAAGAACTGCATTAAGAGGATCCTCCATTCATGTGTAACTTGTCTTAAACTGCGTGGGCGAGCCGTTGAACAGAAAATGGCAGATCTACCAGCCGATCGTTTGTCTATGGAACCACCGTTTACCTATGTGGGTCTAGACGTGTTCGGCCCATGGACTGTCATCACAAGACGCACCCGAGGCGGACAAGCCAACAACAAAAGGTGGGCTGTGCTCTTTACCTGTATGAGCACATGCGCTGTCCATATAGAACTTATTGAAAAGATGGACACCTCAAGTTTTATCAATGCTTTGCGCCGCTTTTTTGCTCTAAGGGGACCTGCAAAACAGATCCGTTCGGACTGTGGAAGCAACATCACAGGTGTCTGCAAAGAGTTGGGCATGCTTCTCACTGACCCTGAAGAACCTAGTGTTAGGAAATACTTAGGTGAAGAGGGATGCACGTGGATTTTCAATCCTCCCCACTCATCCCACATGGGAGGAGTCTGGGAACGGATGATTGGGGTTTCTAGGCGCATCCTTGACGCCATGCTATTGCAAACCATTCCCACACATCTCACCCATGAAGTCTTGTCCACCCTAATGGCAGAAGTAGTGGCAATCATCAATGCCAGGCCACTTGGCCCTATCACATCAGACCCAGAGTCTCCATTCCTCTTGATGCCAGCATCACTCCTGACACAGAAGATATGTACTCCTTTGCCTCCCTCAGGGACATTTGACTACAGAGACCTCCACCGCCAGCAATGGAGGCAGGTGCAACATCTAGCCAATGTCTTTTGGAACAGGTGGAGGCACGAATATCTTCCTACCCTTCAAAGCCGCAGCAAGTGGCAGGACGACTGTCCTAATATCCAGGAAGGCGACTTAGTTCTGTTGAAGGACAAGCAGGTGAAGTGGAATGAGTGGCCCATGGCTCTGGTCACTAAGACTTTCCCCGGCCAGGATGGGAGAGTCAGAAAAATTGAACTTAAAGTTTCAAGTTCTGGATCAACGAAAACCTTCCTGACGCCTGTTTCAGAGACAGTCCTTCTCATGCGCAATAAGAACGTGGACTGAATAAAGTTTTCGATAGCATTCCCTTCCTTATTTAATGGTAATTTATATGGTGGTATTTTCTTTTAAATACCAGACGGGGAGTGTTATGGTCTTTTTAAGGTTTGATTTAAATTTGGTTAATGTTGTGGTCATTTAGTCCCCCTTTTGTTTTGTGAATTGCAATATTTTTTTTTTGTTTTATAACCTCTCATATTATTGGATAAAAAGAGTCAGGTGATTCTGTTAGGTCAGCCATCTTATTTTCCTTAAGTTACCAGTGTTATGCTGTGGTCTCAGCTGTTAGCTTCTTACTTGTTTGTGTCTTGGACATCATTGCCTGTAAGTTCTATTTTATTATCTTGTTATACAGATTGTTGAGCACACTATAAGGGGAAATGCTATATTTATGTTTACATACCGCAAACAGTGTTTTGATAAGCACTCCTTTTGTATATTTCAGTTTTACAAAGTAACGACTTGAAGAAAACAGACAACAGTAAAGACTGACAACCTTACTCCAGCTTCTGCTTCTTCATGTCTTGTTCGCTACCTGTTAATTTGTGTATCGACACGCACTGTGTATGACCTAATATCAGTTCTATTGCCAGTGATTCTCTATGGAGACTGGATGACTATGTACTTGTTTTTGAGCGCCTGATGGGACTGGGTGTGGCTGAAACAGCCAAACCAACAAATTAGAAGGGTGTTCACATACTTTGTCATGTAGCGCAGCTGTACAATAATGCATTCAGTTCCAGTCAGCTTAATCCAAATAAACACTAAACTGCGTTAAACTCTTTATACTGTTGTGTTTTAGAGACAATTATCACCTATCTTCCTATGCAAGGCCACTTCCATGGCTCTTCATTTCCATTGCAGTCTGTTTAGAGTCTGAGATTATAGTAAGCTGATCATAGTTCACCATAATCGCAATGATAACATAATGACCAGCTCTGCTGTGGATGTTCAGAGGCTGATGTTGGCTTGGTATGTCCAATGTGTATGTTACTTCAGTCATGTTAATGAGGTAGGTGTATATCTATATTTTAATTGTACTACTGGTTATGGAATTAACTATAATGTGGAGCTAATTACAGATTTGTTATACAATGATTAGATTTACTTGCAAGTTATGATGTTGAGGACTACAGGGCAAGAATTAAGAACGCTTTTATTGGGGAAGTTTAAGGTTATGCATTTAGAATCTTTCACTTTTTTTTTACATGCATGGCTACTGTTTTCTGTAGTGTCATGTTAACTGATTAAGCAAACAAAAAAGGCTTCATGAAAGACTGGCTATAGGATGACACTACTTAGATAAAAGTTTATGACTCATGGTGAATTTAGACTTCTAGCTGTTAGGGAACCATTTCCCATTTGGTTAGCGTTATGACCAGAATAGCGCAAGTAATAGAGAAAAAAAAAGAACAGTGTCTTATTCTGTCAATCACATTAGAGTTATTATGTTCAGATTTGCTTAAACTAAAATAGGGCTTGTTTAGGTGTTCTGCACAAAAACACAGAAAACCTGTTATATTTCAGTCACATAAGGTTACAACTACTATAACTTTATGTGGCTGAAATATAATGTAACCTTAACTATTCCTTACACCTCCATTGTTGTGTACAGGTATCGTCCTTGTGTTTAGTAGAACCAAATATATTATCGCTGTCCAAAAAGAATCATGTATCTCCATTTTTGTCCATTTGTCATGATGAATGGACTAAGAGAAATGCTCCAAAATCACTTGGAATAAAACCTCTTTACATTAACTTACACTGGATGTTAATGTTTCTGCCCTCTCCTGTAAAGTTACTACAGTGGAGCTACATGTTTTTCTTTGCACAGTGACGATATTTAATGATTCTGTGTTGGTTCAGATGGACGGAGAGTCATGTAGAGGGTGGGCAGGGGAGGAGACAGCTGAATCCTTCTGGAGGAGATACTGCTGAGCCAGCGGATGAAGAGGCTTAGTGAAGGCTCTTTCTGACTATGCAGGTTTAGCCTTCCTTACTTTAGCCCTCCCTTTTATTTCTGTGGACCAACACACACACACACACACACACACACACACACACACACAGACTGAGTCTCCCTACTCCCTGCTAACTGCTAACAAAAAGCCATTTGGGATTCAGCTATGTGTACTAGATATATAACGCATTATTTGATTATTTGAAGAAGTTAAAATTTCAAAACATAATTCCCTATATTGAGAGAAGGGAGCCAATGACATTCAACCAAAGAAAGGCTCCCAGGCAAGCAGTGCAGGAAAACAATTGCAGTGGCCTATGGTGACCAGGCCCTCTAATGTCTTTATTGGACCCCTTACATTTCTTCTTATGCAATTATACACACATGATAGCTGCAATCACTTAATGCAGTTATGCATGCAGGTATGGCACCCCTGGCCAAATTACATTTTTTGAATTTTTGAAGTGAAAATAAGTAAACAAACCTCTGCAGCAAACCATTTTTAAAAATAACATTTACTTGCATATGTTAAGTTGCTTTATATTTTATTAATGTAAAAGAAGAGGGAAAAATTAAACAGCACTTGTGGCATGTGCAAAAGGATGGGCACCCTACTAAGTCAGGTGTGACAGCTGGCAAATGCTGTTTGTAGCCAGCTAGAACTCTTCCTGTTTTTGTTTTTTCTAACTTTGACCCACTTTTCTATTCTTGGGGTGTTTTGCATGTTCGGCATGTTTACAGTTCATCCACAGATAGTCAATGATGTACAAAACAGGGTACTGCGAGGACCCTTCCTAAAGCTTCAGCTTGGGTTTACTGCAGTAGTTCATGGAGGATTTTAAGGAATGTTTTGGACCATCATCCTCTTGTAGAAACCAATCTCTTTTCAGCTTCAGATTCTTGACTGTTTGTGTCAAATTTGCTTCCAGGATTTGCTGATAATTGGTGAAATCCATTTTTCCATCTTCCCATACAAAATATAACAGATCCACCACCAGCTGGCAAAGAGTTCTTTTAATCAAATCCTGCTCCCTTTTTCTTCAAAAATGCCTTTGGAGATGTGCTATCAATGAGCTTCATTTTCAGATCCTTGGCCAGCTGCTTAGAGGAGTCCATGGTTGTTGAGTGTTAGCACAAAGTTGAAGAGTCAGAGATATTATTAGGCTTTGGAAATATTATCCCAGTTATTGTCAACCATTCTTAACCAGCCTAACTAGCTGTAGCAAGGCTGATTAAGTTTTGAGACTTTGCAACTGTAAATGTCAAAACTTCCTTGTGTGCCACAATTACTTTTTTTATTTCTTAAAGTACTTGTGCATTAACATCTGCAAAAAAAAATGTTTTTTTTAGAAAACTGTTTACTGCATATGTTATATTTATGTTATATTTTCATCTGCTCACATCCAAAAATCAAAATAAGTAATTTGGCCAGGGGTGCCCAAACTATGGTGAAGACATGGTCAGTAAGCAAGCAATTTCCACAGTCTTTTTAAGGTAATTATGCCACTGGATACACTCAAACAGAGCAACTTGCAATTGCAAAGCACCTCATAGACTTGGCTTGGAAGTCACTCACTCACATATGACACTGTATATCCTTGTTAATGTACTGGATTAAAACAATTAAACAAAAACTTTAAAATTAAAGAGAATGGCAAAATAAAACTGAAATTAAATGTTCGTGTGATCTTTTAGTAGCCTTCTGCTCAGTGGCACATGTAACCTGAACCATGTACAGCGGTGGGAGAAGGACCTCGAATGTAGAAAGCAGGAGAACTTCAGCGACTATCCAGGATGGTCTGAAAGCCAAGCTGGCCTCAGTTAGCAGCCCAAGCCTCAAGCCAAAATCCAGCATAATGGTCATTGCTAAACCTACTGGAGACTGCCAGACGCAGATTGCAAATGTGAGTCCAAATTCCTTCATGGGTACACACTTTATTAAGGGTTCTCCAGTGAAGAAAATGGTCCTATATAGAACCATAACACTCAGAGAACACTTTATATGATTAGAGTTCTTTACATCATGAAAGCGCTCTTCAGATTCATGGAAAATGTGCATAAATGTGCTATAGACAGTTCTATATAGAACCTTTTTGAAAAGAGTTCTTCTTTTGTTACAAGCTTGACATTGTAACAATAGAAGAACCCTTTTGGGTGCTATATGGAACCAATTTTCAAAAAGGTTTTATATAGAACCATCTACAGCACATTCTCTATCAGTCTGAAGAACCCTTTCATGATGCAAAGCATTCTTTGAGTGTTCATGGTTCTATATAGAACCCTTTTCTTTAATAAAGAACCCTTGAAGCACCATCTTTTTTGAGAGGGCAGCAGCAATCCAGCAGCCACAGCAGACTGTCTGGGTGTATTTGACTGGGCTCTTGGGCAAGGCAGTTGACCTACTGTGGCCCCAGCTGCCACTGCTATACTGGTGATGCCATGATGCTCCCAGACTGGGCGAAGTTAAGCAGGAAAATGATTAATTTCCATAGCAGAATCAAAAGTATAGCATGGCATGACATTCAACAGAGGTTTGGAATGTGTAGCACTGGAAAAGTTAACGGTTTAATCATTAGTCTGTTTTATAGCTTTTATTGACATAATTCAAGGAATGCTTCTTTGTGGTTTGATCTTAAATCTTGCCCAAATGTAGCTTTCATGCAGATTTACACACGTTATTTTTCTTTCTTTTTTTCCAGGTGGACATCATTCTCCCCGAGGGTGATATCGTACCTGATGCGAGCAGCGTCAGCAGCCCCCTCCCTATGCCGGACATCACAGTGGGCCAGACCTCTAGGCTGCGCGCATCCATGCGCCGCCACAAGAGCACCACTGACCTGCCCTACAGCCTGCAACGTGGCTACATGCGCGGCCAGAGGCCCAGCATCTGCACTCCCACTGCGGCTGAGCTGGCCCTGCTGAGGCGCTGCTCACTGTTTGAAGCGGCTGGTCGGCCGTGCTGTCGCCATGCCCTCAGCGTGCCAAACATGGCCAGCCCCAACACTAGCCCTTTACGCAGCACCTCGGCTACCCCCTCCCGCAGCGCACTTTGCACCCCAGTGCAGGAGCTAGAGGGCAATGCCAAGGCGCGCAGCAAGCTGGTGGAGACGGAGAGCGCACAGACACCCACATGCACACCTGAGGAGCGCGAGCAGCGGCGCTACGTCTCCAAAGATGGAAAGTGTCGTGTGGATTTGGCGCACATGGCGGAAAAAGAGCGCTTTCTGGCCGACATGTTCACCTCCTTCGTGGACCTCCAGTACCGCTGGTTTCTCTTCGTTTTCATGATGTGCTACACAGTTACCTGGTTCATATTCGCAGGGCTTTACACACTCAACGCCTTCCTGCGCGGCGACCTCGAGCTCCCTCCCAACAGCGCCAGCGACATCCCTGTGGGGCGCGAGGTGTGCTACCCCAACATAGACGGCTTCGTTTCAGCTTTGCTCTTCTCCGTGGAGACGCAGCGCACCATCGGCTATGGCGCACGCACTGTCTCCCCGAGCTGCCGCGAGGGCGTCCTTCTGGTCATGGCGCAGTGCATCGTAGGCTCCATGATTGATGCCCTCATGGTGGGCTGCATGTTTGCCAAGATCTCACGGCCTAAGAAACGAGCCGAAACGCTCCTCTTCAGCCGGACCTGTGTGGTGGCCAACCGTGATGACCAGCTTTGCCTTATGTTCCGCCTGGGAGACCTGCGCGAGAGCCACATGGTGGACGCCAAAGTGCGCGCCAAGCTCATAAAGTCGAGGCAGACGTCAGAAGGTGAGTTCCTCCCACTCCAGCAGTCCGAGATTGACCTTGGCTACGAGTCTGGTTCTGACCGCCTGTTCCTTGTGGAGCCACAGGTCATCCAGCACACCATAGACTCCAACAGCCCCTTCTGGGAGTTAGGCCCGGAGCAGCTGCGCAAGCAACAGTTTGAGATTATCGTCATCCTGGAGGGGATTGTAGAGGCCACAGGTAAGTGCAATTACATCACGTTAGAGGGGAATTCCACCAATCCCCCCCCCATCTGTGATAGAGCGTTTTACATAGTCAGTGTTGAATGTTGAGGAACCAGACGTCTGAACAGTTTAATGCTCCCTCATAGAAAGTTAGTATGTGAAATGTTTACACTGTCTGCTGCTTGCGCTCTGCTGTCTTACGATTGTTTTGATATAAAGTTTTAGCCCAAAACTTTTTTTTTTAATCCATTGATGGCAGATATCTCTACCTGAAATACCGCATAGCATATTATGAATGAAGTTCAGGAAACAAAGAATTATTGTTGCGAAAAGAGAAGAGTGTACTGGCCAGGTTTGATAATAATAATGCTGCCAACAATTAATTAAAAATGAACAGCCACCAGTTAGCATCAGGTATTCATTGTACTAGCATACATTCACTGTTAGCACATTGGCACGTTTGGTAATGCTGTTTCTTTAATGTGTTTTGACTCTCTTGATATAATGTAAAATCATATGACATCTTTTTTTGTTCTCTATGTTTCAGGAATGATGTGCCAGGCAAAGACGTCTTACATTGAGACGGAGATCGAGTGGGGAGCACGTTTTGAGCCGTGTATGACTATGGAGAAAGGTGCATTCCGAGTGGACTTGCGGCGGTTTCACAGCACTTACCCAGTGCCTCTCCTCCCGTGCAGTGCACGAGAAGCTCAACAGCTTCAGATGATACAGGCTGGACTCGAGTTACCTGGGTCTTTGAAAGAGAGTGGAGACTGTGTGGTTGACGAGGAAGACCAAGATGAAGATGTCCTCCGGCCACAAGGGACTTGTGTTTTCACTATCGAGAATATTCAAGAGTTAAATGAGTCTGATTCCCATTAGCTGATTGCCCAAGGTAGTAAAGTTAAGCCTGTCCACTTGTCAGTATCAGTGCATTTGATGTCGTCTAAAGTCAGGCAAATGGTTTTAATACTACATTCTTAAAAAAGATGGTTCTTCAAGGGTTCTTTAGTAAAGTCAGTGGTTGTATATAGAGCCATGAAGACTAAGAGCATCATTTGCATCATTAATGAGTTCTTTGCATTGTGAAATTGCTCTTCAGAGTGATGGAGAATGTGTTGTGTATGGTTCTATACAGACCTTTTTTGAAAAGGGTTCTTCTTTTGTTACAAGCTTGAGATTGTTAACAATAGAAGAACCCTTGTATCTTCTGAAGCTGTTGAGCTTCTCATGCACTTCAAGAACACTTGAAGAACCACCTTTTTAATAGTGTAGTTATTTTGAAAAGTTGAGGAGAAGTATAAAGGTTTTGGGGTGGATATTTCTAAGACACATGAATCAGTCGGAGATCCTGCACTGTACACAGTGTCTACTTTATTAGGTACAGAATTCTGTCCAGCATGCTAATATAACCAGTAGACTGCCATATCTCCTATAGTTATCTACATATTTAGCACAGTTGTACTCAGCCATTGAAAAACGTCAGTCATTTGTCTTGTGCAGTTGTGCCATTTTCCACTGGTCGATTACATGTCTGTATATTTTATGAATGTATAGATTTATTTATAAAGTCATATGTACAGTACTGTGCAAAAGTTAGAGACCATCCTTCTTTTATTTAATTTCCAGTCAAAACAAGTCAAAAGCCTTTATGTACAAATAATTCATTTCTCAGGAGACATTTTTGAGTAGATTAGATGTAAGATAATCCACTTGCACAAGAAAGAGGAAAGTTAAAAAAATACCCATGCAAGACCTGGTAGACCACCAAAACTGTCCCCATCAGATAAACAGTACTTAAAGCTTTCATCTTTGAGAGAGAGGAGAGAATCAAGCTCCACTCTTGCTTCAGATCTAACACAGGTTTTTCTGTCAGTCTTTCCACTGTGAGAAGACAACTCAGCGATATGAGTCTGAAAGGAGAGTCGGAGTGTAAGAAGCCCTAAAAGAAAATACATAAAAAGGAAGAACATTTGCAAATTCTCAGAACAACAGACTGTCCACTCCAGAGTACAGACCTCAGCATGACTGGATGTGTTTAAGATTACATGAACTGTGAGAAGCAAAAAGTGCGTCTAACTTCTAAGTCTGGAGGTATAAAATAATATCTCTGTAGATTTCTTTGGTAGAATGAAAACAAGTCTCCCAAAAAGAACTGAAGCTGTAACAAAAGCATGCTAAATATTGAAAAAAATGATTCTATGTTTAGTGGCTGGGGCTTCTCTGTAATTTTCTGTAAATTATATATTTTCTACTTTTCTCCTGATGCTGAATGTGATGAAGAAGCTATACTCAATGACCATTTTAGCTGGAAGTTAAGTAAATGAATGTTTTTTCACCTTTGCATATTACTGTAGATATATACAAACATTTACAAATGTATGTGTAAAGGTCAAGTATGTGATTCAGTACATGTTCATTTCATAATGAGATACAAGATAAGAAATCTCTGTTCCTATCGAATAAATACATCATACATAATCTAAACCGCTTATCCTTCTGGGTCACGGTGGGGTGCTGGAGCCTATCCCAGCTGTCATTGGGCGGAAGGCAGGATACACCCTGGACAGGTCCTATCGAATAAATAAACCTCTATTCTTCCTTTGATTGCAGTATAATAAACTCTACCCACTTAAAAAGACTTCTCTTCCAAAAAAACTTTTGCTGACTCAAAAGCCTATAATTGTGGGGAACGGGGGAGGTACCAAACAAATGGCCCACTCAGTTTATACTTTTCCTACATTCATAAACGTTTGTATATACAGTAGAAAACTGAATGAATAAGAAATAAATGCTTTGTTTAAAAAAAAATCAAAACAGTCAAAAGTAGGTCACTAATGGAGGAGGCCAATATAAGCTGACAAGATACATGAGAGTTATAGCCAGTTAGCTGACGTTGGAATGTAGCAGTGGAGCCAAATAGGCTGAAAAATGTGTTTCAGTTTTATAGTTTGCTGAAACATTTAGGCACAGTTAAAGAGCAAGTGTACACTCTTAAAATGAAGGTTTAAGAAGGGGGTCTTCGGGACAATGTCATAGAAGAAGCACTTTTAGTTCCCTAAGCAATCGTTCAAATGATTGTTCTTTAAAAAAATCTATTGAAACTACACAACTGGAAGGTTCCATAGTGGTTGTTCACTATGTCAACACAGAAAATAGAAATCTGCACATTTTAAGACATGATTATTGTTTATTTGCTGAATTTTGCCTATTAGGAAAATAAAAATAACAAAATGTGGCCTGTGCAAAAATGACACGTCGTATGTCTTTCTGTTTATTTTTTTTCCATTATGTTTAAATTAACAAATAATAGTAATTGTGCACTAGAATTAGCAGAAAATTGACACATTTACATGTGTTCTCTGTAGAAGATGTGTTCACTTATCTTAGAAAATCATCAGAACATGTAATCTGACCCAGGGTCCCCAAACTTATGGTGACTGTATATCGTGTATATATAACATTTATTATGTGTATAATGTTATCACATAGTGTTACAACCAAAATGTGTTACAACCACTGCAGCGTTTATCAGGATTGTTATAGTGTCTGAATGCTTTTGAAGTCCTGACTCCTTTCCAGAAGTGAAGTCCTGCATACGCATTTTTATTAAAGAAGTAGTCAATTGCGCAAAATCAAAAAAACATTTCTTGGGGCATAGATGGAAACAACAAAATTACATTTAGAAACTCTAATATTTCCTTATACAACATACTGCAACAGTCATTTCTGTCTCATTGGAAACCCTGATTAAGAAAAAAATACAGAATAGCGGCAAGAGGAACTCCTGAAGGACAAGAAGAAGAGGAACCTTGAGAGGAACCAAGACCTAAAAGGGGAAACCATCCACCTCTGCAGCCTTGACACAGGAATAATGAGCCCAGTCAGCACTCTGAAGCATTCAGATTCACCAGTGATGAATGGTATACGTCCATCAGAGGTTATCTAAAAGAATGAGTATTAGAATTAAATCCATGATTGCACTGAGGATATCAATATTAATAGGTGAAGAACTCTGGTTTAGTGTAATCTAGTGTAGTGTGACTGCATGGGTCTAGTTGGAGTCTGTGCAGGGATCAGCCATCAGCCCAAACACTCACACTCAATCAAATAATCATTTCATGCTATTATTTTTCAGTCACTATGTTGAAACATTAATTAATTCCCACACTGAACTGAGGATGCGATGCTGTTAAACTCTTTCTTTATGCTTGTTGCTATAAATGGCAATTTTGAACCCAAAACAGTTCTGGATGCAGTTCTAAGCCCTATTGAAGCCCTGTGGAGGTAATTTTTGTGCCATTTAGAGGCACAGGTGTTAAACATGTCAACTGAAGAAAGAAAATGCTTCTTGAAAAATGTTCCTTCAACTCTGCTGACATAAGATGATATCTGCTGCTCCCTGCTGCAAAAGCTGCATTTTTACAGCATCTACTGTTGAATTTGTCTCTTAACTCTCTCCTGGCTGTAATTAATAAACATGGTCAGTAACAACATCACTGATGGAAAATAATATACAGTAATATACACTGATCAGCCATAACATTAAAATCCTTGTTTCTTGTACATTTATATCAGCTTTATTTACCATATTGGTGCACTTTGTAGTTCTACAGTTACAGACTATAGTCCGTCTGTTGCTCTGCATACTTTTTTAGCACTCTTCACCCTGTTCTTCAATGGTCAGGACCCCCACAGGGCCACCACAGAGCAGGTACTATTTGGGTGGTGGATCATTCTCAGCACTGCAGTGACACTGATGTGGTGGTAGTGTGTTAGTGTGTGTTGTGCTGGTCTGAGTGGATCAGACACAGCAGTGCTGCTGGAGTTTTTAAACACCTCAGTGTCACTGCTGGACTGAGAATAGTCCACCAACCAAAAATATCCAGCCAACAGTGTCCTGTGGGCAGCGTCCTGTGACCACTGATGAAGCATGACCAACACAAACTGTGCAGCAGCAGATGAGCTACTGTCTCTGACTTTACATCTACAAGGTGGCTTAACAAGGTAGGAGCGTCTAATAAAGTGGACAGTGAGTGGACACAGTGTTTAAAAACTCCAGCAGCACTGCTGTGTCTGATCTTCTCAGACCAGCACAACACACACTAACACTCCACCACCATGTCAGTGTTACTGCAGTGCTGAGAATAATCCACCACCCAAATTATACCTGCTCTGTGGTGGTCCTGTGGGGGTCCTGACCATTGAGGCAGAGCAACAGATGGACTACAGTCTGTAATTGTGGTACTACAAAGTGCGCCTATATGGTCAGTGGAGCTGATAAAAAAGGACAACAAGTGTAGAAACAAGGTGGTTTTAATGTTACAGCTGACAAAAATATACAATTGGGTTCATAAATATTTGGACATCAACAAAGTTATTTTTATTTTAGCTGTCTACTATGGAATATTGGAGTTGAAATTAATCAAATTATTAATGAATATGAGCTCAAAGTGCAGACTTTAATTTGAAGGCATTTACATCCAAATCAGGAAAACAATGTAGAAATGAAAACTATTTTCATACAAACATACAGGATTTGCAGCCAGGCGTTAAAAATGACAACTTTCAAACCCCTAAAAATGGGCCAGCTATGTATGACACTGGTTGTAATTCCTATAGTATTCACCTGAACTGGATGGAAATACCCTCATATTAACCCCTTACCTGGCCAGGGCCCACCGGTCAGCCCAGAAATTGTATTGCACACTACTATAACCTAAGAATACCCCAGCAAGTTTGCATTGAAGTCCCTGTAGTTACTGAATAATAAGCTCTTGTATGTAATAAGCCTGGGATTTTTAAGATTTAAAGCTGAAAGTCAACTCTAATACTCTGCAGTAGACAGCTAAAATAACAATAACTTTGCTAATGTCCAAATATTTATGGACCTGATTGTATTTTGATTAAGTGGAAGACCATTTTTTAATTATACAAACACCAGTGTGACAT